GATCACTGGAAGTTTCCAAAAATAGACTGGAGAACCGTTAGGCTTGGAAGGTATTAGATCTCCTGCCTGGATCTGAGGGTTGGACTAGGAGACCTCTGGGGTCCTTTCCAGTCCTATGATTCCGTGTTTTACCTCAGACACCCCAAATGATCTTCGCTCTGGATAAAAATGCTCAAAGGTTTTTTTGTGGCATCTTCAAGGCGAAGATATTTCTTTCTATAGGAAAATGCCAGAGGTATCAAATACAATATATAAATTCCCTGTTTCCTTTTCTTCTCTGATGAAGCCATGAATCTTTAGGAAACTTCAAACTTTTCTCTTTTCCCACAAAAACTAAGATGGCTGCTCTCTCCTTTGGTGCTTCTTCTGGAGATTCCTTGGATTAAATTAATAAATCCCTCTTCCGATTACAGTTGTTATTGTGATCCCGAAATTCAGCTGATTTTACATTTCCTATCATGAACAAAGTATGAGAAACATTCAACTGTTTTTTCAGGGCTTGAATCATCTCCTTTCTTCTGCAGTCACCTTTCCACTGAGCATGTACAGAGTGGAAATTAGGCCCTGTCTGTGGAAAAGAGGAGGGGATAGCTTGATAGTTCAAGAATATAAAATATAGAACATAAAAGAATATAAATGTTTGAAAAACCTTTCAGATCCGAGAGTCTCAGCAAGGCCCTAAGAATTTCCGGAAACAGGGATGAGTTGGAGAATGGCGCCCCCTGCTGGTTTGAGGCTTTGCAGTTTCTCCTCTCACTTGGCAAAGGGGGGAAGGAAAATCCCATCAGAAGAAAAGTTTCAAATACTGTTTTAAGCACCAAGCCAGACAGAAATTAATCAAATTACGTAGAAACAAGCCAGCGAAAGATGGAACTGATCAAATTAGCTGCTGGATTGTGTAAACTCCCTTTCTCTTTGTGAGACAGACAGACAGACAAACTACAGACCTGCGACTGGCAATTCCTGACAATGATAGGCTAGGAAAATTTCACGGTCGTATTAAGTACAACAAATGTAATCTTGTACACAAAAAGACAAATGTAATTGACTGGTGTGAACAATAATCCTGTGAAAGAATTCCCATTGATTGCTTGTAAATAAGATGTGTGAATATCTGAGCCGTGTTTTACACAGCATGCTAGATTTGGACCTCTGTCCCAAAGGTCAGGCTCTCCATTTCTGCAGAAATAAACAGATGAAAGTCTCCTCCCTCCTTCCAGCCTGACTTCTTGGCCAACCTTGCAGGGAAAACAGAACCCAACGGAGGCATTAGCTTACAGAGGGACCTTCTCCTCCCTTTCACCCGTCTGTATCTCTACCGATGAAGAAGGCCGAGGCCATTAGAGGGAGCTTCCAATTCCTGGGGAGTCCCTGGAAACCGGCCGTCTGCAGGATGAGCCTCCCCTTCAGATCCTCTCTTGTCTCTCTGGGTTCCCAGCAGGCGTAACCTTCCTCTGTTTTAACTGGCTGGTCGGTTTATGGTGCAGCATCTCCTGCAATTGGGATCCACACACAATGCACACAAGTCCCTGAAGGGAAAATTCACCAAGGTTGCAGGGAACCCAACGTGAGAAGGTCATGGAAACGAATCTCTTAGGTGCGTGACTGACTCAGTTACATCTGCTGTGTGAATCTGGCCTTTGTGGGTCCGGAGAATCCCTGGCAAATGAGACTCTGGGCTGCTTCCTGAGCCAGGATTTTGGAAAGGAGCCAAATGCCAGGAGACAGGCCGAAGCAGCTCAGGACAGCCTTTGGCTAATACGTATTAAGTTTGGAAATGTAAAAGGTTGAGGCCGTAATGTTATTATTTTTATTCAACTGTGTTGAAAAGAACACACAATTTTATTATTTGGGAGATGATAAAGAAGGACCTGGCATTGCTTTCATAGCCAAGAAGGTATATATTGTCTCCCATTCCATATCTACCATTTCAGCTAAGAAGGCAAAGAGTGCTGCCATCTTCCTTCCACCTTCCAAAGACCACCACTGACTAATAAGGGACGTAGTTGATTTTAAGATAATATTTTTATTTTTTCTGAATTTTCACTTTGGAGGCAACGTAAATAGAGAACAATGGGAACGCGACGGGACTCAACATGCTGAATCGCTTTCTCCTTCCTTGAGCCGAGGAGCTGCTGAAGCTGCACAAGGATTTCACGAACCACTGAGAAGAGGCTGCAAATGCAGGCATCACTTTGTGACCTTAAGGGCTGTGGGTGAGAGAGAGGCGTCTGTCCAGAACGTTGCTACCAGCTGTGGTGTTTTCGTCCTGTCTCTCTTCAAGGCCTCTCCCCAGGAAGAGTACAACAAAATGGCCAGTAAAAGTTGTGCTGTGAAAGAACTGAGGGGGTGGGGAAAGAAGGTGTGTATTTTTGTGTGGAAGTAAAGCGGTTAGAAAGGGGTGTTTTTCTGTAGCAGAACTCACAATGAGGAATGCATGTGGGAGGAGCTGTGGAAAAGTGTGAGCAGTGTGTGTTTGTGTGTGTGTGTGTGTGTGTGTGTGTGTTGCCTAGGGGCCTGTGTTATTGTTGGCTCTTACAGAATAATAGGACCTTGGAGGTCATCTAGTCCAACCCCCCTACTTATTATACAATTATTTTTATTGTTGGTTGGAAAAGAGATAGAAATGATTAATTTTATAATTAGGTGTAAAAATTTGATGATAGGAATATGGTTATAGGAATGAACGGTTATAGTAGTTTGGATGACAATTAAGATAGAAGAAACTTCTGGAACAGGAAGAACAAAAAGAATGGAAGAAGATACCCTGAGATGCCACAGGGGAGGGATGATTGATGTATGAAATGTTTGTTTGTCTTAGAAAATAATAAACTTTTACAGTAAAAAAAAGAGATGGATTAAATGCAAAACTTGAACAATAGAAGACGATGGTTCTAGAGGGCATTCCACAAGTGGCAAACCGTATGGTCTACATCCTCCCTTTTCCAGAGGAATTTGTATCTTGCCTAATGCTTGGAAGTGTATCCAAGGGCTTCCAGAAGACATTTTCTGTTGTGTAGTTGCTGAGAAAGAAAGTTCCCAGATACCAAAAGAAACGGCCTTGGCTAAGGAGATGAAAACCTGCTTCCTTAAACAGGACTTTCTGGGTTTTTCTTTGAAGACATTTCGCTTCTCATCCAAGAAGCTTCTTCAGCTCTGACTGGATGAGGAGGAATGGGAGGATTTAAACTCCTTGCAGAGAGCTGGACATTTGCATTCTTCTACTGAGTTCTTAAGGTCACCTGGAGATTTATCTGTGTCATCAGGCTCACCTGAGTGGTGCAAGTGGGTGTGGAGCCTTCTTGGAACTGTTGAAAGGACTGTGTTGTAGATTGGAGATAGATGATGTCATAACCCTCCTTCCACTTTCTCCTTCCAAATCCTTCCATTCCCCACCATCCAGTCAGAGCTGAAGAAGCTTCTTAGGTGAGAAGCAAAACATCTTCAAAGAAAAAACAGAAAGTCCAGCTGCCTCTTGAAAAAGCACCTTTGGGACAACCATGACCCGGATGACTGAGAATCTCCATAGACATTATGCTTCCTTAAAGTTAAAAAAAAAGAGAGACCCAGCCTCTCTAGTTAAAAGCACAAATATCCCCTTTTAAAGTGCTAGTAATGAAGCTTAAAATCCCAGGAAGCCCTGGCTGTAATTAATTGTAGTCCTATAGTACCAGTTTGATTTTCAGGTCATGGAATTAGCAATGTCCCCAGGAACCTCAACCGAAGTAAAGCCTTGCCTTCCAAGTGTGAGTGTGTGTTTATTTAAAAGAAGAGCATTCAAAAGAGTTGTTTAGTTGGTCCACGGTCCAAGAGCCAGCTCAAGGTCATCAGCAGCTCCCAAAGTCTTGGTGCTCATTTGACTTTTGTGTATTGTATTTATGGTCTCCTGTTCTTCTACTGATATTTTTTTTATTGTGTTGGCCCAAACAGCTTTTGTGAGCTGGCCAGTCGTAGATGTCTAATAATTAAAACGTATTTCTAAAACTTTCCAATCAGTAAAAGACGCTCATTTTGAATCCTCACAAAATACTTTAAAGCAGCCGTGTCCAACCTTTCGGCTTGCCTGGGCAGCATTGAATGAAAAGGAATTGTCTATTTCTTATTATAATATCAAAGGTTTTGCGGGGCCACATTACTAGCTTTCAAAGGCTGAATGTGGTCTATGAGCCGCAGATTGGGCACACCTGAAGTCTACATTTTAGGCTCTCAAAGATGGCCAGCTCTTGAAGGCATCTGGGAAGCCCAAAAAGGAATTGGGGTGAAAGTTCCAATGATTTTCACTCCTCTTTGCCAGAGAGAACCGCTGTAACATGGGGACTTCTTTCCCATCAGTCAAGGGTCTCCCCACTCTTGGGCCATATTGGGCGCCTGAAGAGCCCAGAGAGGATCTCTCAGAAGAGGAGAAGCTGCCCTTCTGCAAGGGGACAGGATGGCTCTGGCCAGTCACTGAACTCCTGTCTCCCGAAGGGCCACTGGATGAGGCTCAGAGATCAGCCACTTGGCGAACAGTCTGAGGCAAAGGTGAATCTGAGGGAAAAGCAGCCTCTGTTGCTGCCATCACCAAGCCAAGACCAAGTAGCCATTTTACGGAAGATCAGCTGGTGATGCTAAACCTCTGGACACAGGAACAAAATGGCTGCCTCTTCCCCAAAGGAGCACACAGGAGCCTCCACAGTTCTTGCTCCTTCCAGGTTTTGCCTTGGTTCCTCCCAGTGGTGAAATCCAAACTTTGTTACTACTGGTTCTGTGGGCGTGGCTTGGTGGGCGTGGCAGGGGAAGGATACTGCAAAATCTCCATTCCCACCTCACTCTGGGGCCAGCTGGGGTGGTATTTGCTGGTTCTCCGAACTGCTCAAAATTTCCGCTACCGGTTCTTCAGAACCTGTCAGAACCTGCTGGATTTCACCCCGGTTCCTCCCGTTCCTCCCACGGGTCTCTGATCAACAAGGGGGGTAAAATCCCTGTTTTCTTCAACCTCCCACAACAGGCAGCAACTCAAGTGGGAAGAAAACAAAAGCATTTATTTTCAGCCAACAGTTACGGCAAATTTACAATATATGTACAATAATTAAGGAGGTAGTAGCCTGGTTGTGCAATCAATCTCATGTTCCCTTTTTCTATAGCATGAAAATCCATAAATGACGATCTGGAAAAATTTAGTGTTTGAAAGCTATACTTGGTACAGTATATTAATTATGTATCAAACTTTGGAGGATCAAATATACGGTCAACTTTAATCTTTAAAAACATTGAAATACATTAACTACTTTAACGGCATAAATCTCAGAAGGCACACTTCTTTTTTAAAAGAAATAATTTTGGGGAAGATTCTACTATACGTTATACCAGGGGTGTCAAACGCGATCGTGTTGGGGGTCGGATCGTGACAGATCGCAAAGTTTCTTGCCTTTGCGGAGCTGGGGTGGGCATGGCCTGCGTGGGACGCATCCGGCCCGTGGGACGCCAGTTTGACAGGCCGTAAGAGATGGGGGAAAATATCTTCCCTTTCAACCCAAGCAAGTATGATGAAGATTAACAACTTTTCACTCTCCCTTAAAGTAAAAGCAGCAACTCTTCATCCTATTCCTCACCTCATTAGCTGCAAACCTTTCTCTAAAACCTGTTGATCAGCAGGAGCCCATTAAAGGTCATCAGAAATAAGAACGTAGCTGATACAAGCTCTATTACAGAGCTATTACAAGCCACACAAGCCACTTTGGTCTAGTGGTTAAAGCACCAAGCTAGAAAGGGACTGTGAGTTCAAGTCCTGCGTCAGCCATGGAAGCCAGTTGGGTGACCTTGGGCCAGTCCCTCCCTCTCAGCTCGGCTCACCTCACAGGGTTGTCGTTGTGGGGAAAAGAGGAGGAGGAGGAAGGTGTGTTCGACATGTTCAATACCTTCGTCGGCATACAAATAAATAAAAAATATCTAGTAAACTCAAGTTGAATTATTTTGCTCCCACAAATATAAAAATATAATATTCTCTCTCCTCCTCTGTCCCTTAATCAAAATAAAAATGGTTACTGATTCAGAGATAAAAGCCATCACGAAAGACCCAGAATATATCCTGGTTCCTGCATGTTGGGAGGCCCTGAAGGCTCCTCCTGAGAGTCCGGCCTAATTCAGAGGAAGGCCGATCCCATCTTCTCTCCTCTCTCCTCATGCAGGGACTGTCCACTCCTTCTGCCAAGAGGAGGGAAAAAGCAGGCAGGGTCAGTCTGGGAGGGAGCCCAGAGGAAGGATCACACAGTCCAGGCTGAGGGATCAGCCAAGATCAGCCCTTTGAAGAAGCAGGAGGAGCCGCCTCAAGAGAGGGATCAGCTGGGTGGGATTTCCAGAGTTGCAAGAGGGGGAGGGGAGGGCTGGGACTGCCCCACAAGTTATATAACACGTATCAATATCCCCCCTCAAATACAAGTGGAAATGGATTCATGGCTTCCAGAGAGTCCAGGTCTTCCCTTCAGCATCTGGAGGGAGGGATTCCCAGATGGGATCAAGGAGGGAAGAGAATCCCCCTCTCCATCCATGACTGGAGGACCCTCAGGAAGTCCCTCCTCTCTCCCTCTTTCCCTCCTTGCAGTGGGAACCCTCTGATCTCCTCTTTGCAGGTCTCTCAGCCTCCTGAGCCCTGACCCAAGACAGTCAGATCGTGAGAGGGATCTGGCCACAGTCTGGCCTTGCTGGATAAGAGTTTGGGGGCAGGCAGACCCCTCCCCATAGTCCCAATTCCCCCCCAATTCCTCCCCTTGCAGTGGTTGAGATGAACAGGAGAGAGAAGAGGAATTTCCCAATCTATGTTCCTCATCCACTGGTCATTTGACGTCAAGGCCCCCCCCTCCCTTCCTCCCTCTCCCCCCATACAGCCTCCAGAGGGGGAAACTCACCTGCGAGGGGTCAGCTAAATGACCTGGTTGCTTCCTGCATTGGAGAGAAAGACACCGAGTGAGTCTCTGCCTTGTCTGGATCCTCTGAGGAGGACAAATCTCTCCCTTCACCATTCAACCTCTGCAGCTTCATGAACTTCTCAGAGGAAGTCAGACTTTATATTTATTTATTTATTATTAAACATCTGTGTCACCCATCTCGCCCAGGTAACTCTAGGAAGCTTACAGTAAAATTCGATAAAATGCCATGTAGAATATTTAAAACAATAAATAAAAACCAGATTCCCCCATCAGATCATGTTGCCTTTGTCTGACAAGAAGATCATATCCGGAGTTTATTGACCACTGCCTTGAGGCGGGTCCAGGATGGTCTGGGAGAGTCCCATGTCTGCCATGGAAGCCACGAACCCCTGGGCTGCTTCCGAGGCCAAACCCAGGGGTGGCAGACTGAAGTCTCCCAGGACCAGAATCCTGGGCAAGTCCATGCCAACCCTGAGATGGCCCCCAGCAGCTCAGGCAGGGAGGTGGCCATGCAGCAGGGAGGCTGGTATGTAGCAACAAGCCCAACTGGTCCAGTGAGCCCAGAGTCAGAAACAGGGAGTCACAACCAGAATCGTGGGGTGGGAGCATCCTGAGTGCCAGAAGAGATTCTCAGATGACCCCTGTAAACCCACCAATCCTGGCTGGGATCTTGGTTGGGGCCAAACCCTAAACCCAGCTGGGCACACCTCTGAGAAAGGGAACCTCTTCCCTTTCCACCGTCAGTCAGGTCTCAGCTATGCCACCAGAAGAGTCTCTAACCACTAGGGATCAATGGTGGTTTCCCCATTGCCCCTCAAAAAATTGAGGGCAAATAAATTTATTTATTTATTTATTTATTTATTTATTTATTTATTTATTTATTTATTTATTTATTTATTATATTTCTATACCGCCTTTCTCCCGTAGGACTCAAGGCGGTGTACAGTCAAGAAAAATATAGACACACAAACATCATAAAATTGCTAATTAAAATTATTACTTAGTTTGGCCAATTAAATAAAACCCAGAATTAGATAACATTTTAAAAATCATTCACATGTTCGTATGTTTAGCCCCGCCTGTTGGAACATCAGGGTTTTGAGGGCACGGCGGAAAGCACGGAGATCAGGGATATTCCGTATCTCCGGGGGCAGTTCATTCCAAAGGGTTGGAGCCCTCACAGAGAAGGCCCTCCCCCTGGGAGTCACCAGTCGGCATGATTTGACTGACGGTACCCTGAGTAGTCCCTCCCTGTGAGAAAGAACTGGTCGGTGGGAGGCTATTGGTGGCAAAAGACGGTCTCGTAGGTACCCAGGTCCTAAGCCATGGAGCGCTTTAAAGGTGATAAATAACACCTTGAATCGCACCCGGAAGACCACCGGGAGCCAGTGCAGCTCGCGTAGGAGAGGTGTTACATGGGCGTAACGAGCTGCGCCCATAATCACCCGCGCGGCTACATTCTGGACCAGTTGGAGCCTCTGGGTGCTTTTCAAGGGGAGCCCCATGTAGAGAGCATTACAGTAGTCCATAAGGGAGGTATCTAGGGCATGAGTGACCGTGCGCAAGGCATCCCGATCCAGAAAGGGACGCAACTGGCGGATCAGGCGAACCTGATAAAAGGCACCCCTGGCCACGGCCGTCAAATGATCTTCTAAAGATAGCCGTGAATCCAGGAGGACACCCAAGTTGCGGGCCCTCTCTGTGGGGAGCAAGATCTCATCTCCTATTGTCAGTGATGGTACCAGCTGACTATACCGGGACGCCGGAAGCCACAGCCACTCAGTCTTCTTCTCCCCATCCAGATCCGCACGGCCTCCAGGCAACGGGACATCACAGCAAGGGCATCATTGGGGTGGTCTGGGGTGGAGATGTATAGCTGTGTGTCATCAGCATACTGATGAACACTCACCCCGAAACCACGGATGATCTCGCCTAGCGGTTTTACATAAATGTTGAACAGAAGGGGTGAGAGGACTGACCCTTGTGGCACTCCACAAATAAGGTGCGTCGAGGTCGACCTCTGCCCCCCTGCCAACACAAACTGCGAACGGTCAGAGAGGAAGGAGGAGAACCACCGAAGCACGGTGCCCCCTATTCCTAACCCCTCCAGCCGATGCAGTAAGATACCATGGTCGATGGTGAGAGATCTAATAGGACCAGGATAGAGGAGCAACCTCTGTCCTGAGCCCTCCAGAGATCATCCACCAACGCGACCAATGCTGTTTCTGTGCTGTATCGTGACCTGAAGCCCGACTGGAACGGATCCAGATAGATAACTTCATCCAGGTATTGGGGTAGTTGTCACGCCACCACACTCTCAACAACCTTCGCAACAAAGCGAAGATTGGAGACTGGACGATAATTTGATAATATAGCCGGGTCCAGGGAAGGCTTCTTGAGGAGGGGCTTCACAACCGCCTCTTTCAAGGCGGCGGGAAAGACACCCTCACTCAGAGAAGCATTTATAATCCTCCAATGTAATTTCCTCCAATGGGAGCCAAGGCTGCACCATGCAGACCCTGGGCTGCCTCCTCTGCCTGAATCCAACAGGGAGAGTTTCCCTTCTCCTCTGCAGAATGAACCAGTGCAAGGAAAGTGAATTTTGTGACAGCCGGCCAGCTTTCATGCCTATGGCAGGACTAGAACTCACTGTCAACCCAGTTAGACTCACTTGGTGCCCTCAACACTAAACCAAACTGACTCTTTTAATTATTTCACTAGAACTGGACATAGAGAGAACCCAGGGAGGATGAATTGGGGGGGGGCTTTAAAAAGGGGGGCCTCTCCCTCTTTTCATCCCCTCATCCACCCAAAGTCTTGCAAAGGGAGAGAATGGCTCATGTAGGAGCAGCAGCAGCTCCCTCTGACTTACACTGGCCTGAACTGTTGGATCCTTTGTCACTTGCTGGAAAAGAAAGAAAGAAAAAGAGGGTGAGAAAGTCGCTCTCTTGGCTTATAGGTGGAGAAGCTCAGCTTTTTCTGGCTCCAGCTCCCTCCCTCCCTCCCTCCCTCCCTCCCTCCCTCCCTCCCTCTCTCTCTCGCACACAATCAAAGACTCACAAACACATGGAGAGAGTTTGGATCAAACAGCTTTGGCTAAAAGGCATCGGAAAGAATTCTTAAAATGTATGTGTGGATCGCACAAAGCCAGAAGGCAGGGCTGACTTAAAAAGATGCAGATGGATCCAAAGTTTCTTTTTCTTACCAGTTCGTACTTAGTGAGCCTTGTGATGGGAGACCAAGAGGAGATCAGGTGGCATCCCCCAAAGCTCCTTTTCTCTCAAAATGCCCCCCCTTGACCCCTAATTTTATGGAGCTTCTGACTCTCCTTTGGCCAAGCCTTCCCTTGCTGCCTACTTGGGAAGCAGAGCATGTTCTCAGTCAGAGGGACCTTCCACCAGCCGGGTCTTCTTATCGTCTTGAAGGTTCCTTCTCCCAGATGTTTCTCCTGGAGGACTCCACTCCCACTAACATCCTAGCTCAGTGGTGGGTTCCTAACGCTCCAGATCTTGCGAACCGGTAGTAGCGGCGGTGGGAGGCTCTGCCCACCCGTCATCACAGACATTCAGTGCATGCGCAGAAGCGCTGCATGCACGCAGAAGGACTGCACGTGCTCCCAATGCAAAACAATAATGAAAGTAAGTGGAACCCACCCCTGGCCTAGCTGTAATGAAAAGGGGGCCCATCTTCCCCAGCCTGGATCTTCGAAGGAAGAGGAAGAAAGCACACACAAACATACATGCACACTCCCCTCTCAATTAACGGTGCCTCTGGTCCCTGCTCTAAATCGGAGATTACATGTAAAGAGGACAAGTCACTCACTTGGCGTTGCTTTGTAGCCATCCTGACGTCTCTCTGCAAGGATAAAAATCAGTGAAAGCTCAAAAGAAGCCACCAGAGATCATCCAAACTCTCCCTCCGTAGGAGGAAGAACCCCAGGAGATATTTCACAGTCACTTTGTCCCATGAACAAAGACAGAAAGACCTTCAAAATACAAATGTATCTCCTGATTTGCCCCAAGAGAGACCTGCTCCCTCTGAGATGGATGGAGGGGAATTGGGGGAAGCAGCAGCAGCAGCTGGGAGGGGAGGAAGGTTTCCATGGAAATCCTTCTCTGCTGCTCTTTGATCAGTTCTGTCCCTTTAAGAGGGACAGAACTGGGATGCCTCTTCCCAGCTTAGAAGAAGACAGGACTGCCTGAGTCTCAGACTTAGCTGAATTGAGACTGGAGTCCCAGCGTGAGCCTGAGATCTCAGATGCTCCCCAAGAGGGCTGGGAAAACAGGACTTCTGAAGCCAATAAGTTTCCCAAAGGGAGAGACTTGGGAGAAATCTCCCCATCTTCCTTCCATCACCCCCCCCCCGAAAAGATACTTACTGAAGAATACCAGGAGGATCCCAGCAATCACACCCATCGGGACAAGAGCAGCCGCAACGTAGCCGATGATGAGCCACGGGTTGGATTTTGAATCTGTTGGTTCCGAATTGGGAGAAAGATAGATAGATAGATAGATAATTTTATTTCTATACCGCCCCTCTCCCGAAGGACTTGGGGCGGTGTACAGCCAGGTAAAAACACAATACAAATATCACAATTTAAATTTAAAAATTATTAAAAGTATTACATTTAAGACCAATTAACTAAAAAACCCAAAAATTTAAGAACTCCAAATTTAAAACTCAATTTATGAAGCTAGCCCTGCCTGTCGGAAGAGCAGGGTCTTAAGAGCACAGCGGAAATCTTGCGTATGTCCGGGGGCAGTTCATTCCAAAGGGCAGGGGCTCCCACAGAGAAAGAGCAGATCATTGACGGAGAACCCGAAACAATCCTCCCAATCAGGGAAGAGACCTAAAGAAGTGAAAGCTGGAATTTCCCCAAATGAAAAACTCCATGGGCTCATTTTTGTGTCCTTCTCAAGGTAACATGAAGGCGCCTGGCTAACCGTTGTTAGAGGACGTGTCCTCATGACGCTGCCTCCTTCTCACCCCAGCCCAGCATGAAGGCAACTGAATTCACCTTTGGCTTTTCGACTCAAAAACAGCCGTTTGCCACCTTGTGACTCATAGCAGCTTGCAAAACAAAAGCTTCACCAACACAATAATATAAACAAAAATTGTTAAAACAAAAACATTTTTGTTGTTTTTATAGGCTGCTCCAATAAGCCATGACTCTGAGTGGAAATGGGCAGATCTGTACGCTTTTTTCTTCAGTTTGAGTGTTTGCATTTTATTATTTCAGGTAAAATAGTTCATATCACCTAGCCTTTTTTTTATATATACACTTTCATTTTCTTTGGCCAGTCCAGGAATAGCAAAAATTATAATTTGTGCTTCCAGAACTTCAGCATGAAAAATGGAATATGGTGATATCCGACTTCTGGATGGTCCCACAAATGGCAGAAATAGAATAACGGAGTCACAGAGTTGGAAGGGACCTTGGAGGTCTTCCAGTCCAACCCCCTGCTCATTCCAGAGGCCCTATACCCTTCCAGACTCACTTAATAACTGTGTTATTAACTTAACAATTGTGGTAAGAATGGTCGTAAAATGGGGCAAAACCCACTTAATAAATTTCTCACTTAGGAACATAAAGTTTGGGCTCAATTATAATCATCAAATGAGGAGTATCTGTAATATGGGGGACATCTTTCCCATAAGTTCTGCAACCCAACAAGGCAGACACAGATGAGGCTCAGAGTCCAGCCACTTGGCCAACAGCCTGAGGCAAGAGAAACATCTGGACACAGGAGGAAAATGGCTGCCTCCTCCCCAAGGAGCCCCCCAGTTTTTGCCTTGGTTCCTCCCCTTCCTGCCACTCAAAGGGAACTCAGGGTCCCTGAACAGCCAGGAGGGGGAAATCCTTGTTATTTCCAACTTCCAATAATAGGAAGCAACTCAGGTAAGAAGAAGGCAAAACCATTTATTTTCAACAAACTATTTTTGTATTCTTATGGTATGTGCAACAGTTAGGGGGAAAGGAGCCAGGCCAAATTGTGAATCTCCTGTTCCATTTCTCTTAGAATTGACCATTTTATTTTATTGTATTTTGTGTAAAAGATTAAAATCCAAAAGAAAAGGATTGAACAGAGACAGAACAAAACTAAACAAAAACATGGAAAAAAATTAATGAAAAAACAGGAAGACATATTATGCCCCCCCCCCCAGTTGAACACTGAGAAATCTATTGCAACAATATTAGCTTCCCCGCCTTGCAAAAGAGGTCCAAAATTTATAATCTTGTAGATCTATTTGCAGCCTAACTGACCTGTCGTAGATTACATATGTGAAAGGAAAAATAGTTAACAGTTGAACAACAGCAAAGTTAAAATTCAAAGCACTCTCTTAACAGTCTGTTATTATAATTTATTCATAGAAAGTCTACCCAATTTCTTATTTCTCACAAACCGCTTCCATCGTTATCTCTGAGTCCAGTGTTAAATACTTGTGTTTTGGTTCTTAATTGTGAAACTTTTCCTTAGGTTTTTAATTAGGAACTTTACCAACTATGGGCTATGGGCCCTTCTCTAAAACCTGTTAATCAGCAGAAGCCTATTAAAGGTCACCAAAAATAACAACATAGTTGCTACAAGCTATATTACAAAGCTATTTACAAGCTATACAAGGCAATTTGTTGTAGTGGTTACCAGGCTAGAAAGAGACTGTGAGTTTAAATCCCGCCTTAGCCACGAAAGACGGCTTGGGTGGGCCAGTCATTCTCTCTGACCCCAACCCACTTCCCAGGGTGGTTGTTGTGAGGGAAATAGGAGGAGAAGGTGTGTTAGATATCTTCAATGCCTTCAGCAGGATACAAATAAATAAAAAATAAAATAATATCTACTAATTCCAGTTTGAATCCTTTTGATTCCACAATTATAAACACGTAAGATGTTCTTTTCTCCTCGGTTCCTCAATCCTAATACAAAAAGTTACTGATCCAATGATAAAAGCGATGGTGAAAGACCCCAAATGCATCCTGGTTCCAAGCATGCAGGACGGGCCTGAAGGGTTCCTGAGAGTCCGGCCTAATTCAGGGGAAGGTCGGTCCCATCTTCTCTCCTCTCTCCTCATGCTGGGACTGTCCACTCCTGCTGCAAAGAGAGGGAAGAAGCAGGCAGGGTCAGTCTGGGAGGGAGCCCAGAGGAGGAATCCCACCGCCCAGGCTGAGGGATCAGCACCAATCTGCCCAGCTGATCCCACTCCTGAGAACTGCTGCTTCCTCAAGAGAGGGATCTGCTGGGTGGGATATTCCAAGGTAGAAAGAAGGGAGAGGCAGGGCTGGGACTGGCTCTGAGACAGCTGAGAACCTGCCCCACAAGTTACATAAAATCAATGTCCCCCCCTCAAATATAGGAATCCAATACTAGTCTGTGTTGCTCCCGGAGATCTACGGATCCTTATCTTCCCCCTATGTCTTCCTTCAGCATCTGGAGGGTGGGATCCCCAGAGGGCTGGAAGGAGTGGAGAGAAGCCCCTTCTCCATCCATGACTGCAAGACCCACAAGAAGCCCCTCATCTGCCCCTCTTTCCCTCCTGCACTGGGGACCCCCCAGTCCTGTTAGGATATTAAGTTTAGGAGCTGGAACAGGTTAAGTGTGCAATGGGCAGTAGTTGATTGGTTGAACTAGCTTCTGCATGAGGCAATCCACGCTGTGATTGGTTGCTGTGGGTATAAAGGGGGAGTTTCCCTTTTTCCCGCCTTTTTCGTCTGTGTGTTCCGTGTGCCTTTTCATTTACCTCAAGATATTCCTGTCTTCCTGACTATCTTGTCTGCTGCAACTATAAATCTTAAATACATTTATATATCTAACCCACAAGTTTGTCTCAGTGTCTTTTGACTTCATCTGGACAGCTGCTACGTCCTTCCTTGACAAATCTCCTCTCTGCAGCTCTCTGAGCCTCCTGATCCAAGACAGTCAGACCCCAAAAGGAGCCACAGTCTGGCCTTGCAGGAGAAGAGTTTGGGGGCAGGCAGAGCCCCCCTTCCCAGAGCCCCTCTGGATCTCCCCCAAATTCCTTCCCTTCCAGCCTTTGAGATGAATAGGAGAGAGAAGAGGGATTTCCCAAAGCACCTTCACCATCCGTTGGCCCTTGGACCTCAAAGCCCTCCTTTCCCTCCCTCCCTCCTCCCCACACAGACCCCAGTGGGGCCACTCACCTGCGAGGAGGCTGCTAAATGGCCTGGTTCCTCCCTGCATTGGAGAGACAGACACAGAGTGAGAGGATAGGATAGGATAGGATAGGATAGGATAGGATAGGATAGGATAGGATAGGATAGGATAGGATAGGATAGGATAGGATAGGATAGGATAGGATAGGATAGGATAGGATAGGGACAGGGACAGGGACAGGGACAGGGACAGGGACAGGGACAGGAATAGCTTTGTCCTGATCCTCTCTCTCTTCACCATTAAACCTCTGCAGCTTCACAAGCTTCTCAGAGGACATAAAGCTTTTTATTAATTTAGTAATTAAACTTCCATCCCACCTATCTCATTAAGGTGACTCTAGGCAGCTCACAGTAAAATTCAATAAAATGGCATGTAGAATATTTAAAACAATCAATAAAAACCAGATTCCCCCATCAGATTATGTTGCTATTGCTCCAACAAGAAGATCACGTCCAGTGTGTGACTGCTGTCTCAAGTCGGACCCAGGACGATCTGGGAGAGGCTCACAGACCCCATGGAGGCCATGAACCCCTGGGCTGCTTCTGAGGCCAAACCCAGGGATGGCAGATTGAAGTCTCCCAGGACCAGAATCCTGGGCAAGTCCATGGCAATCCTGAGGTGGCCCCCAGAAACTGAGGCAGGGAGGTGGCCATGCAGCAGGGAGGCTGGTACAGTAGCAACAAGCCCATCATGTCAGCCCAGAGTCAGAAACAGGGAGTCATAACCAGAATCGTGAGGTGGGAGCATCCTGAGTGCCAGAAGAGATTCTCAGATGACCACTGTAAACCCACCAATCCTGGCTGGGATCTCGTTGGGGCCAAACCCTAAACCCAGCTGGGCACATCTCTGAAAGAGGGAATCTCCCCCCACCCCCTTCCACAATCAGTCAGGTCTCAGCTATGCCAGCAGAAGCGTCTCTGGGGATCATGACATTGCTGGAAGTTTCCCTATTTCGCTTCAAAGAATTGAGGGCAATTCCCTCCAAAGGGGGTCAAGGCTCCACCATGCAGACTCTGGGCTGCCTCCTCTGCCTGAATCCAACAGGGAGAGTTTCCCTTCTCCTCTGCAGGATGAACCAGTGCAAGGAAAGTGAATTTTGTGACACCCGGCCGGCTTTCATGCCTAAGGCGGGACCAGAACTCATGGTCTCGCCTGGTGCCCTCACCACTAGGCCAAAGTGGGTGCAATTATTCTTATTATTCCACCAGAACCAGACACATAGGGTGTCAGGTTTCGATGCTATCTCAAAATAAATGAACTTCCAAACTGCCGATCTTTAAGGAAATTTTCTCTTTATTCGAGCACAGCAACCTGATCCTGACTCTTCGCGGTCAGTACTGACCTTTGCCCCCCAATCCCTCCCTTTCTGATCCCCAATTCTCTGCTTCTCATTGGCTATCTTCCAAGTCACTCTCCTGATTCCTTATTCGTCAGATCACAGGAATGTCTCCCCCCTCCCCATCTCCGAGGAGACCGAATCTTCAAAGGGATTTAGCAGGCAAAAGTTCAGGCTTCTCCTCCCTTTTCTATGTCAGTGCTGACATAGGGAGGATGAATTGGGGGGGGGGGCTGCTTAAAAAAATAGGAGCCTTTCCCTCTTTTCATTTCCGCATCCATCTCTCCAAAGTCTTGCAAAGGGGCAGAATGGCTCATGCAGCAGCAGGAGCAGCAGCTCCCTCCGACTCACCCTGGTCTGAACTGTTGGATCCTTTGTCTCTTGCTGGAAAAGAAAGAAAGAAAAAGGGGGTGAGGAGGTCTCTCTCTAAGCTTATAGGTGGGGCAGCTCAGCTCTTTCTGACTCCAGCTCCCTCCCTCCCTCCCTTTCTCTCTCGCACACCTTCAAAGACCCACAAATAAAAGAGGTAAAAGAGCAGCCCCGTAAAAGTAAAAATGAAAAATGAAAGTCAAAAGAAAAGATGAATGAAAAATGATGGAAATGACTGTACATGTAAATGTGTTTATGAAAAATAAAAATAAAAAACTTTATAAGAAAAAAAAAGACCCACAAATAACATGGAGAGAGTTTGAACCAAACTGCTTTGGCTAAAAGCCATAAGAAAGGCATAATAAATTCTTAAAATTTATATTTATATCACACAAAACCAGAAGGCACAGCTGACCTAAAAAGCTACAGATGGAGCCAAAGTTTCTTTTTGTAACCAGTTTGTGCTTAGTGAGCCATGGGGAGATCCAGCTGGCATCCCACAAAGCTCCTCTTCTCTCAAAATGGCCCCTTGTCATCCCTAATTTTATGGAACTTCTGATTCTTTTTTGGCCAGGCCTTTCGTTTCTGCCTACTTGGGAAACAGAGCAATTTCTCAGTCAGAGGGACTTTCCACCAGCCAGATCTTCTCATCTTCTTGAAGGTTCCTTCTCCCAGATGTTTCTCCCTGAAGACTCCACTTCCAAGAACAATCTGGCTGTAATGAAAAGGGAGCCCATCTTCCCCAGCCTGGTTCTTAGGGTGAAGAGGAAGATAGCACACAGAAACATACATACACACATCCCTCTCAACCAATACTGACTCTGTGGTTCCTGCTCTAAATTGGAGATTACATGGAAAGAGGACAAAACACTCACTGGGTGCTGCATTGTAGTCATCTTGACGTCTCTCTGCAAGGATAAAAATCAGTGAAAGCTCAAAAGAATCCACCGGAGATCATCCAAACTCTCCCTCCATAGGAGGAAGAACCCCAGGAGATACTTCACAGTCACTTTGTCCCATCAACAAAGACAGAAAGATCTTCAAAATACAAATGTATCTCCTGATTTGCCCAAAAGAGAGAGCTGCTGCCTCTGAGGTGGATGGAGGGGAATTGGGGGAAGCAGCAGAAGCAACTGGGAGGGGAGGAAGATTTTCATGGAAATCCTTCTCTGCTGCTCTTTGACCAAAGCCTTTGAAAAGGACGGAACTGCGATGCCTCTTCCCAGGTCAGGAGAAGACAGGACTGCCTGAATCTCAGATTCAGTCTGAGTTGAGACTGGAGTCCCAGCAAGAGGCTGAAATCTCAGATGCTCCCCAAGAGGGCTGGGAAAACAGGACAGAAGGAAGCCTAGAAGAAGCTCCCCAAAGGGAGAGACTTGAGAGGAATCTCCCCATCTTCCCCCAATCATCCAAAAAAGAATACTTACTGCGAAAGTAAATAAAAGCCAAAATCCCAACAATCACAATCACGGCAAGTACAGCCATTACGCAGCCAATGATGAGCCCCAGGTTGTATTTTGAATTGGTTGGTTCTGAATTGGGAGAAAGAGCAGATCATTGAAGAAGAACCCCAAACAATCTTCCCAATCAGGAAGAGACCTAAAGAAATGAAAGCTGGAAATACCCCAAATTAAAAACTCCATGGGCTCTTTCTCTTATGAGCATATACAGAACCCCTTGAGAGAGGGATTTTTTCCTTGGGTTTTATGCTGAGCCTCAGGAATTCACACATCATATCATACAATAATGTGCAACTTCTTTCTTAGAGCAGCAACACAGGGTGACCTTTTGACCTTTAAAGCAGGAAACCCTGTTAGTCTCTGATGGGAAAAAACTCAGATTTGGTAGCTTCTTTTCTGACTCCTGAGGCATCAGTCCAGCTTCTCTCTGCATTTCCTGGAGACAGCGGCAGTTCATCAATTTTAAGTCTACGCACCCTGTTATTAACACAGCTGTCTGCAATTTACTGCTGGTTCGAATCTCTCCAAGGCACAAGGTTGACTCAGCCTTCCATCCTTTCTAAGGTAGATGAAATGAGGACCCAGTTTGTGGGGGCAATAAGCTGACTTTGTATAAAATATACAAAAGGATGAAGGCTATTGCTTAACGCATTGTAAGCCGCCCTGAGTCTCCAGAGAAGGGCGGCATATAAATCAAATTAAAAAAAAAAAAAAGTCAAAATTTGCCTTCAGAAAAAGGCTACCAGATACTCCTGATGTTTGAACCTTAGGAATTTTAAACAAAATCAAATCTCTTTCTCAGCGGAACTTCTGCTTTTCTGCTGATGGCAAGAAACAGGGAAGGCCTGAGAGAGGATCTAAGGGAATTTCATCAGGATCGATCCAATATTGTGATGGATTCTGTAGTTTCCATCATCTGAAGTCAGTTATATGGTCTGGTCCCTGCAGCTTCACCAACCTCAAACACTAGAAAAATCAATGACTCAGAGGTTAGCTTTGCTCACATCTGGACACAGCTGGGGTCAGATTTCTCTCCCACAACCCTCCAGTCTGCCAAAGAGCCCAGCCTTCTCCTCCCTGCAGCCTCTCACCCTTCAGGACCACGTCCAAAGGATCCTGCAGGCCATTGTGCTCCACGTGGCAGCGATAACGGTCTCTCTCTTTGGGATCGATCCGGACACTGAGCCAGTAGTGGTAGGTCCCATCTGCATTGGGGGTCACAGACCCATGGAAGGTGTCCTGCAGCCAGACCTCCCCGTCCCTCTTCCAGGAGGCATCGATGTCCCTGGGGTAGAAGCCATCTATGCGGCAGACGTGCGTCTCCATCCCATCCTCGGCCTCCGTCCTGCTGCTCACCTTCACCTTTGGGGTCTCTGCAGAAACGGCACCCCCAGAATTATCTCTGAGCCCCTCCAGAGCCTGGAAGGTAGCTGAGAAACTTGGAGGGACAGGAAATCTCCCACTACTTAGTTTTAACCCAAAGATTTACATTCCACACTTGGAGTGTCTCCAGGAATTTTAGGAAATGCTTGAAATCTGGAAAATGCTCAACCACAAGAACTCCTGATTTTGAGTCCTTCCCAGGGACTCAGCCTGAAAAACCTCCAGCAGCAAATTAAAGGTCCAAGAAAGTTCCACTCTGACTGCTTTGAACTCTGACTGATCCTGGGCTGCTCCCTTCAGGGTAGGGATAGTGGAGATGGTCTCTTAAGTTCCCTTTCAAAACAGCAACACAGAAGATTCTCCCTACTTTTTGTTCCTCTTCTGCTCCCCTGAATCTGAGGCTGCTCCAGACAACTTTCCAAGGGACACAACCACAATTTTAAGAGGAAGAGAGATTAAAGGGAATCTCACACTGATCAATTTGGAAAAGAGATTTTTTCTCTGAAAAGGGGGGGGGGGGGCAGAGAGAGAGAGATGCCAATGGAAAAAGGAAGAGGTCTTCCCCAGGCAGGGAGGGGCCATTGGCAATCATCGGGTGGTGGTGGGGAATTTCCTCCATTGATCCTAATCTCATCCAGTTGATTCTGGAAGGATCAAGGACCCCAGGGGGGAAGGGATAGACCTAGGGAAGAAGGATGGTCTACAGGGTAAATTAATAAAAAATCCTAGGAAAAGATTATAATGTGAGCCCCCCTGGGGCATGAGGGGGAAGCCCCCCTGGTTCCTGAAGGTGGGGAAGGGGTTGTTTTGAGAAAGGTTCACTGAGAATTGTGGGAACCTGTTTGAGGCTTAAGAGAAAGGTTGACAGAAACTTTGCTCCCCACCCTCATCGCCCTGGAAAGAAAGGAACCCTTCATCCATGGCCTTCTTTGCCCAAGTGGGGGCACTGATAACGTTTTATTAATAAAGCCTGACTAGGTGACTCAGTGGCTAAGGCACTGAGCTTCTCAATCAGAAAGGTCTGCAGTTCGGCGGTTCGAATCCCTAGCACAGGTCTCCTGCGTGAGCAGGGGGTTGGACTAGATGACCTCTAAAGTCCCTTCCAACTCTGTTACTGTTACTGTTAATGGTAGAGGTCGAACCCACTAGTGGTGGGGGTGGGAGGTGCACCATCAGGTGCAAGGTAGGGAGGGAGCCCCCTGTGGGATCTGGGGAGAAGCAGAGTTAATGGGAGAAATTAAGGGTGCCCACCACTCTTGACTAATTTGGCTAATGGGGGTTTCATTGAATAGCCCCAAATGGTTGCCTCATTGTGGGCAGTGAACAGGACACCACTAAGTGATTGTCCTGCCTGATCCACCCAGACAGCTGCCAGGCAGAGGCTGCATTTCCTGGTCCATTGAATGGCTGCCTGGCAATGAGAACCAAACAGGGCTTCCCATGTCTTGGAGAGAGGCTGAAAGGGGGAGGATTCCTACCAGGGCAAACAAGCTCCAGACCAGGGACCCAAAGGGGCTGAATATGTACAAGAGATCCAGCCATAAAGGAAGAAAGTCCCATCTGCATTCAGATGCTCACCTGTCCTCAGCAGCGTCTCCTTCCCATAGGACAAGTATTTCTCCAGCCACTCAGTGCAGATTTCCTCCAGGTAGACCTTGGTTCTCTGATTCCATCCTGGAATAGCATCCCATTTCCTCTGGGTGATCTGGGCCTGGGGTTCAGGAGCCACCCAGGTGAGGAACTTCTTGTCGAAGGTGATGAAGGTCTTCCCTTCATAGCCATACTGCCAAAACCCTCCTTTGCTCCTGTTTCTCTGGAGCTCACAGCCATACATCAGCTGCAGTGTGTGAAGGCCTAAAAGACAGACAGGAGGATGGTTTGGGGAGTCCTGAAGATAGACAGAGCTGTTCCCCTCCTACAGGGACTGTTTCCTCCCTAGCATTCAAGGAAAAGAAAGCCCCCATCACTAACTGCCCTTCTCCCGTCCCTCTCCCTGCGTCCCTACATTTTGCTCCCACCCCCAGGATGGAGTCCCTGAATCTCCCCAGAAAAAGGGAATCTGGAAAAGCCGACAGAGGAACCCAAGGGAGACCGAGAAAAGAAGGACTGGTAAAAGAAACAGAGGGACGGAAATCCTTCCATCTTTCTTTTTGCTGTTTTCTCGGGGGGGGG